GCTCCTGGAGGATCGCGCAGGCACTGTATGCGTCCTGCGCATGCGTAGAAGCGCAGAACTCATCAAAACCGGGTAAGGACCGCGGACGGGCGGGCGCGCCCTTCGCCGTAAGTAACTTCCGGGTTCGCCGACCAACCGGTTCGCAGGGACCGCCGCGAACCGGTTGAAACCCACCCCTGACTTGCAGCCACATTACTTGAAAGACTGCCCACTTAAGGTGAGGAGGAGAACCTCCTACATCTCTTCAGGTTTTGAGAGGAGTTAGTTTAACAAGCACAAATGGTCTACATTTCGTTTTGGGATTTCTGGAAGCCCCAAAGAACACCTGTTTGTTCTTCTGTGGCTAGCATTTATAGCTGTTTATGGGATTTGAGCATTTTTTTTTTTGCTTGGATTGCTTTTATATCTGACTTTTAATCATCATTTTTATTTATAATCCTATAATTTACCTAGTAGTAGCTTGATTTAACCTACCAGATAAAATAAAGGCGGCCTAAACATGTTCTAAACACATAAACATAATTCTATGGTTTGAACAATGAACTGTTTATCAAAATATTTCAAATTAACTTTACACCTTTGTTTAGTATGAGAAGAACTTCCTTTAATAAAGGCTAACCGTGAAATTAAGCCTGAGTTTTACAAACCCAAAATTCAGAATTTTTTATTTTATCTGCTTAGATTTCTCACTGGTGAGAGAGAAGAATCGTCAAACACAACTTGCAATTCTTTAAAATGCAGCCGAAATACCAATTATGACGTGATAGCAAATATAAAAGTGTATCTATGAACTATTTAGAGGTAAATCAGATCAGGAGGAAATAAAACAAGGAAACCTTATTTTGCTTTTCAGCAAAATCGCAGTTGTGAGCCATCGATGCAAGCAATTCAGAAAGCCGGAAGGCCTATGCATTTGCATTGCCATTGAAATTCACTGTATGCCTTGTCATTTGCTTTGACATTCTTCCTTAAGTGATCGTCTGCCAGAGAATCCCTTCAAATGGAATCTCTATTCTATTCTGCTTGCTGTGCTGCAGCCAAACTCCTGAAATCTAAAAGCAATGGTCAGTCCAAGTTAATTTTAAGTATGGAGTTCCTGTCCTGAGCCAGGTGTGTACCACATAATCCCATGAAGATGCACCTGCAAATAATAATGTAACAATGTTAAGGGGATTGGGTTAATGAATGGTATCAAAAATGAAACCATACAGCTTCTTTATAAAAAAGCAAAGTGAAGGGAACTGAATTAAGCACTTTGCTTAGGTCCTCTTCGCATACCAGAAATCGATTTAACATTGCAATATCCATTGGGCATCATTTAATCTGGGCTGCAGAGTCATTGTTCACCCTACTATTTATTACAGATAATAAGGCGATATGCATATTGCTCCCTCCTCTTATTTTTGTCCACAGTGACAACCCTGTGAACCGGTGGTGGGATTCAAATAATTTACCAACCAGTTCTCTGCCCTAATGTCCAGCTGGATAGGCGGGGCTCTGTGGTCACGTGATCATGTGGGCGTGGCCAAGTCAATGTCACTCANAACAATAATAAAGCAGTCTTTAAAAAATAAGTCTAATAATTTGAGCATTCTATAGGCATTTATAGTTATTGACTTACCTCTTTGCAGCAAACAGCAAACAGCCTGATTAGCAAAAGAAAAAAAAATCTGCCTCCCAGCAATTTGCCTCTGTGCAGCAAACAGCAAGTTTCACTTTCAATTTCAGCACAGGTCTCCCGATCATCAGCTGTTTCAGGCTGCAGGGATTGCTATAACCTATTGCCACCTCCACAAGTCCCATTTTCCCTGTTTGCTGTAAGGAGGTAAATTGCTGGGAAGCACAGGCCGATGAGTGGGGGCAGGTGGATGGGGCTACATTTGATGTATAGCACACATCCAAATTTTCACCCTCTTTTAAGGGTGTTTGTGTGTCTTATACTTCAAAAAATATGGTATCTAAATTTCATGATATATGATTTCTTCTGGACAACTTCCTTTAAGAAAATTCTGGTATTCAATGGATCTATTCACATACTAAACAGTTATAACCGGAACCCCATTGGAAATGATACATGATAAATATAATTTAATTTAATAAATATTCCATTTAATTTTAAACTTGGCTGAACTGCCTACATTTTCTCTAAATGTAACATCTATAAATGTTCATTGTGAACATTTGGTACCAAATGCATTAACAATAACATTACACTCTGTTTTAGTGGTGAAAACCTAAGACAAATGTATAGAAATGAAAGGTTGTACATACTGCAATATGGAACAATTAATATTATATATTAAAAAATCTAAAGACTTACGTTGACATTTCTTGCAGCACTTGCCATCAACATATGCAGGCGCAGAATTAGGAAGACAATCAAAAATTGGGCAAATCAATCTTTCACATTGGATAGTACCATTCTAAAAAACAAAAGTTTATTTTCAAAATCATTGCCAGAACCTAGTCTATTAATTTTCCAAATAAATAAAACTGGGTAGTTGAAGACACGGATTCTTTAAAACATATTATGTCTTATATACAACAATAATTATGAAGGAGAAACACATTTTAAGGTAATTTAGATTTCTGATAAATCATTTCAATTGTTCCTAAAGATGTTCCAAATCTTTTTATTTTCATTCAAGATGCTGTATTGTACTGTAACTTGGAAGATTACTGACTATGTTTCTCGGATTTACACCCTGTGGCGTGGAGAGGAAGACGGCGGCGCCGCGCTGCTGACGGCAGCATTCTACTATAGCCTCCGGCCGGACAGCAATGTTTACTTACAACCTTTGGCATTTTCGGAGTTTTGGAGTTTAGGGAGAGAGAGGAGAGAGGATCGGACATCTGAAGCCCTTGAGCGGTGAAATCCGCAGTGGCCGGATTTATACTCGCGGCATGGATAGGAAGATGGTGGCGTTGCACTGCTGATAGTTGCTGATAGCAGCATCCTATTGCAATCCTTCGGCGTTTTTTGGACCTTTCAGCCGAGTGGTGAGCCTTGTGGACCCCATAAACGACTATTACTATCGTCCATCACCCCAGAGAGGTGGGGATTCTATAGGGGCTTGGTCGAGCGGATTGGGCAGCTGGCTGAGGTTGCCGCCGCCGTAGCTCTTCTGGACACCCCCCTCCTCCTCCATCCTGTTTGCCTTCCTCGCCGCCGCAGCCTCGCCCTTCACTCTTTATGCGTGCTGGACATTTCTCCTCCTGCTGCCCTCGTTGCTGTGGAGCCTTCGCCTGTTTCCCTGCCCAGCACTGACTCTCCATTCCACTGCCTTGGCCTGCGACCATCTGCTTTGGCCTGTAACAGCTGTCCTCCTTAACCACTCGCCACCTGTTACTGCCCTTGGATAGATAGGTATAGATAGGTATAGATAGGATAGATAGGATAGATAGGATAGATAGGA